ACCCAGACCACTTCAGCTTAATGAAGTGGTCTGGGTGCCAGGTCCAGCTAGGGTTAACCCATTTTTTCATAAACATAGCAGTTTCAGAGAAACTGCTATGTTTATGAATGGGTTAAGCCTTCCCCTATTTCCTCTAGCGGCTGTCTCATTGACAGCCGCTAGAGGCGCTTGCGTGCTTCTCACTGTGATTTTCACAGTGAGAGCACACCAGCGTCCATAGGAAAGCATTATGAATGCTTTCCTATGTGACCGGCTGAATGCGCGCGCAGCTCTTGCCGCGCGTGCGCATTCTGCCGACGGGGAGGAGAAGAGGAGGATCGGAGGAGGAGAGCTCCCCGCCCGGTGCTGGAAAAAGGTAAGTTTTAACCCCTTTCCCCCTTCCAGAGCCGGGCGGGAGGGGGACCCTGAGGGTGGGGGCACCCTCAGGGCACTATAGTGCCAGGAAAACGAGTATGTTTTCCTGGCACTATAGTGGTCCTTTAAGAATTCCTCTTTGTACTTATTCCCTTCCCGACCTCGGACGTGCAGGGTACCTCCGACAAAAAGCGGCAGTTAATTTTTTTCAATTAAAAAATTTGCCAAATTGGTTATGTTGCCTTTGAGACCGTATGGTAGCCTAGGAATAAGAATTACCCCAATGATGGCATACCTTTTGCAGAAGTAGACAACGCAAGGTATTGAAAATAGAGTATGTCCTGTTTTTTCTAGTAGCCACTTTGTCACAAACACTGGCCTAAGTTAGCGTTCATATTCTTTTTTTGCATTTTTCACACACAACTATAAATGCTAACTTTGGCCAGCGTTTGTGACTAAGTGACTACTACAAAAGACTGGACATACCACATTTTAAATACAATGGGTTGTCTAGATTTGCAAATGGTATGCCATGATGGGGTTAAGTCACATTCCTTGGCTACCATATGGTCTCAAAAGGCATTTGCGAGCAAATCAACCTGGCAAACTGAAATGGGCAATCCCTATATAGACCCTGTAACTTTCCAAAACACCATAAAATCTGTACATAGGGGGTATTGTTATACTCGAGAGACTTCGCTGAATACAAATATGCTTTTTTCAAAATAGTAAAACTTATCTCAACAATGATATCACCTGTAAAAGTGCAGTTTTGAGTTTTACACAACAGTAAGATTTCATTTTTTTCATTGAAATTTGACAACTTGGTTATATTGCCTTTGAGACCGTATGGTAGCCGAGGAATAAGAATTACCTTCATTGTCTGCCATTTGCAAAAGTAGACAAGCCAAGGTATTGCAAATGGGGTATGTCCAGTTTTTTCTAGTAGCCACTTAGACACATACATCTGGCAAATAGCAATTTACAAAAAAACAAGATTGGCAAATCTCATGTTTGACCCTGTAACTTTCCAAATCACCATAAAACCTATAATTGAGGGGTACTGTTGTACTCGTAAGACATTACGATGAGTGTTTTAGAGCAGTAAAATGTATTATACTGATAATATTATTGGTGAAATGGCAGTTTATGTGTAAAAGATGCAAAAAATATAAATGCTAATTTTGGCCAGGGTTTGTGACTAATTGGCTTTAAAGTGGGTTGTCTACTTTAAAAAAATATATTGGCCAGCTTCAAAAATGTCCCAAATAATACATGGGTGCATAATGACCAGCTGAGAAAATTTGTAAACGAGGTTAGGGAGAGAGAAGAGGCACAGGGTCCCCAGAGAACAAGGGACCGGGTAATCGGGTCTAAATGCAGATGAAAAGCCTCACACAGAAAATAAATAATTAAATCTCTCAATTCACCCTAACAGTTACCTTGACACCGTGGTCTAACCACTAGTGT